TATACTATACAGATCACGTTTATACTATGCACATCTTATCAATCAATTTATATACCAGTATAAGATGTATATATTTTAACACAAACGACCCTGATCAAAGGGTCAATATTTATACAGATTTCCAATTAACCCACCCACACTAAGATAGAAATTAGCATTAAAGACTTTTTATATGGCAATTGTTGTATCATAATTTTGATACTATAGTTTTCCTGAGTTATAAGAGATACCAGTGATAATACAAACTCTAAAATATTATGTATATTATATTACTTGATATGCTTACTAGAAGACATTTCTCTTCAATGGTCGTGGTTCGTTTTATCTTAGAAATGTCTAATCTATTTTTGTGAATGTTCCCATGAGAGGTTTCATGATTTTCAGGAAATCAGTTAACAATAGACAATTGTATGTACAATTGAAAAATCTAAATAAATGAAACTAAATGTTTATTTTATGCATGACAATCAATCCAATTATAATAGCATACCTTTAATACTGTAAATTTATTTACTGGGCTTTAATTCCTCAGTTAAGTCGAACCATATATACAAGGCAGAATTTTACAAGTCAAGAAAACCTGTCAACAATAAGCTGCTCCCCGATTGGTCTGAGTGTTAGGTGTTAGATTTGGGTAGCCAATCAGAGACAATCTTGTAAGAAGTTTCACAGTGACCCTCATTCCACTATTCCCTCAGATAAGTGAAATGAAAATGTAAACTTATAATAAACTAATTTTTTCACTGTCAAATATGTGAATTTAAAACCCAAGAAATAGAATTAAATATCAATATTTGAATAAAGTGAAATTTGTTCTATTGAAATTAATTTTGAGTTGCATTGTGATATTAAGATATGCAATGTATTACACCATTAAAGCTCTGATTGCTGTTCGAATTGGTGTTCGGCAGATTGGACATTTTTTCAAAGCAGGTGAACATACTTCACAAGTTACTAAGTGACCACACGGCTGAAATAACATGCATACATCACGATCCATACAAATCTTGCAGCTTTTTTGATCCTTCAGGTCATCTAACTCAGCCAGTAACTTGTCTCTGTTTTTAATCCCTGAAAAAAATGAAATATCTGAATGATGGAGCGACTACTATGAACTTCCAGTAATTTGGGTTCATGGGTTTGAAAGTAATTTGGGTTCATGGGTTTGAAAGTAATTTGGGTTCATGGGTTTTGAAAGTAATTTGGGTTCATGGGTTTGAAAGTAATTTGGGTTCATGGGTTTGAAAGTAATTTGGGTTCATGGGTTTGAAAGTAATTTGGATTCATGGGTTTGAAAGTAATTTGGGTTCATGGGTTTGAAAGTAATTTGGGTTCGTGGGTTTGAAAGTGATTTGGGTTCATGGGTTTGAAAGTAATTTGGGTTCATGGGTTTGAAAGTAATTTGGGTTTGAAAGTAATTTGGGTTCATGGGTTTGAAAGTAATTTGGGTTCATGGGTTTGAAAGTAATTTGGGTTCATGGGTTTGAAAGTAACTTGGGTTCATGGGTTTTGAAAGTAATTTGGGTTCATGGGTTTTAAATACCGAGAGCACACTATATTGTACATGTATGCCAAAAACTGAAACTTAAGCCAATATAATTATTCATATATTCTAAGATTAAAAACACAAACAAATTCGGCATTTTTCAAAAGGAGATACGTCTCTGATACGGCATTGAATAAAACAAACGGTTGCCAGTTGAACATTTTGAATCTAATCAGCAAAAAATGTACGTGTGTCTCTGTCCCACAATCTCCAAAAATGTATTTACAAAGTTTGAAAGAAATTTATATATACACAACTAAAATTTAGTTCCAGAATGATAGAAATGCAAGATTTTGATTATTTTTTTGCACTAAAATGGTAACTTCTAGTAGTTAGTAATGATCAATTATTATAGTTTCATATTAGTTTAAAAAAATGGAAGACATAACAGGTTAGCACTGGCTAATACTGGTAGTTATTGACAGTAAACTTGTCTAGTTTCATACTAGTTA